AGGATAATTGTAGATGTCTATGGGCCACAGCATCCACTTACCATCAGGTGGACTGTATGCTCGTTAGTCACCCTTATCTTATAAAAAAAAGATAATTACTATTAATTCCTAGTATCAGGCGTTACTTTGCGGAAATTCATTATATTAAAGATGTTAAAAATTAATTACCTAAGATCCGCGAATAAAAGAAAATGATGTGTCTTATCTAAGTATATACATAGCGGTCAACCACCGCAGAGTCTACACCACCTGAGGTTGCCTCGTTTGGAGGCAAAACACGTGTCGTATTGTTGTAGACGGCGGTGTGTCTTTCTTTTTTGGGTGGTGGGAGTAGTGGTGTTCGGATTAGTGGTGATGAGGATAGTGCAGGCAATTGATGTAGAGTGGAAGGTGCTCTTCATACTAGCTAAGACATAATTTTATTTTATTATTCGGATCTTAGTTAATTAATTTTTAATATCTATATAAATGAAACTCAATTGTGACATGTACTTATGAAAGATCATCACTTGAGAACTGCTCGACCAATTTTGATGAAATGTTTGTGTGTGATTGAGTGGATCCATGGATGGTTTAAATTTACAATTGAACCAGGTAGGTGGCGCTGTTGTCGATATCCAGAAATCATCCGTGCAAAGCTGGGGCGTATCCGTAATCTTTAATAAAATAGTTTTAATTGTTTGTAAATATGCCATATGTTCCTGACAGTTTCATCACAGCAGTTGGTAGAGATGTTCCGCGCGCAGACGCCGAGTGCGCCATACGAGCCACCCATCAAGCAATCGCAGTTCGACAGCAGCGAGCGAGCACCGACCCCGCTGCAGTCCGACACGGACGCACCTCGCCACGGGCGGACATACCCGGCCGCGGCGCCCGCCCCCGCCCCCGTACCCGCACCCATCCCGTCCCGCTCCCGCACCCCCGCCCGCCCCCGCTTCGACCGACCGCTGTTGTTGCGCGGACAGCTCACCGTGCCTCGCGCAGATTACTCCGAACCATACACCGTTTGGTACGTTACCTTTTTCATCTATTGTAATCTAGGCACTATCTACAGCTCATTTATTAATCGTCATTCATTGTAACCTATCGTAAGTCCACTGCTTAACATAGGCCTCCTCTATAGATGTCTTATAGGGGGAATATTTGCCGTTAATTTTGAGTTACTCGACTCCATCGAGTCAGTAATTCATTCTTGGTATACGCTTTTACAGCAATATCCCAGAAAATATACAAAATTTGTTACCTTTTCAAAGTTCAAAAACTTTATTAATCAAAGTTTGTATAAAAAGGGTTATTACAGTATTAACGCATTTATGGATGATAATAACTCCTGGGAATGAGGTGATTGCTACCAAGCTATTTCTAATTTGTTTTGTGTAGTAAATTGTGTAACATACACGATTGTAAGCTGATATTTAAAAAAAATCCCGCTGGGTTTCTTGCTGGTTCTTCCCAGGACAGAGGCTTTTTTCGAACCAGAGGCAATTAAACAAAAGAGTGACTTTCAATAAGTATTATTTATAATTTATATTGAATAAAAAAAGTTTATGTAAATAAAATTGAAGTGTCTGTCTGTAATATCGAAATAACTGCATTTTATTAAGCCGAAGCAGTTATTTGCATTCTGTTAAACCATGAATAACCGTTTTTACAATTTTTACAATTTTTCGTCTCTCTGTTTATCCGGGCTAATCTCCATAATTAAATAAACATAAAAACATAAAAATATTATGGTTATCCCCTACTATGTAAGGTAATTCATTAATATATAGATCATTAACAAACAGAAAGTGACCGAGAATAGAGATTTGAGGCACACCCATTTATACTATTGACCCGGAAGAGACTAGACTTTTACTATTAATGACAACTTTTGCATTCTGTTACTTAAATATGAAACAACTAATTTAAGAGCATTACTTCTTACACCGTAGTGTTGTAGTTTCCTGATTATTGTTTCATGGTGAACACAGTCGAAGGCTTTGGATAAATCACAGAATATGCCCAAAGCATCCTGTGAATTCTCCCATGCATTAAAGATATATTTAATCAGCTCAACACCGGCATCAGTTGTCGAGCGACACCTTGTGAAACCAAATTGATTTTTATGAAGTAAAGTAAAAAAAAATTGACATTTGATCAAGAATAATTTTTTCGAAAATTTTACTAAGTGTTGACAGTACAGAAATTGTTCTAAAATTGGCGGAGTTTAATGTACTACCAGATTTAAATAAAGGTATTACCTTACTATGCTTCATCAAATTAGGAAACACACCATATTCGATACTAGTATTAAAATAATAGCTATTCGATAGATTATTTCGATTATAGACGCAATAACTTTAACGAAAATCCCCCACTGATCTGCAGTTTTCTATATGATATTATATGATATGTTATGAAATATAAAATTCCTTGTACACATTTTGTTTAAGTAATGATTCGGCGACGGCAGGAGAAGAATTCAGAATTAGTGGTTAAGATTGGAATATCAGTAAAATATTTCCCGAAAACTATTGCAACATCCTGATCTGATTCAGTTAATTTGTTGTTAAAACTTAACTGGTAGTTTGAATTGCGAGAGTTGATCTTACTAGTTTTACTATTAATTATACTCCACGTCATTTTAGTTTTATTAGAAGCCGTCTTAATTTTGTTGGTCAAATGCAAAGTCTTGGCTATGGAGTACATTCCTTTAAATATTTTTCAATATTTTTTCACATATTCCCTAAATTCGACGCTATGATTATATGACCTTTCATGGTAAAGATCATATAACCTCTGTCTGCTGTTATGGACCCCTACTGTCGCCCATTCATTGAATGCCTTCCGACTGTTCAAACGTGTTACAAGAATATTATCAAATTCATTGCAATTAAGCTTAAACAATGTTCCATACAAAAATTAGGATGATTTTGGTATGAAAGTGATGAAAGTTTCTTCACTATGTTACTTCTAAACTTCTCCAAGCAACGTGTATTTACTGGAACTAACACAATTTTCTCATTTACTTGCTTTTTGTGAACATAATATATTATTTAAAGAAGGCGAACTAACCGCCTGTTACTATCTGTCTGCTAATTACACAATATAATATTATGTTACATGCGAGACTGTATCAAACAATAATAACATTCATTGCTATGCGGACGACAGCACTGGTGATGTTCTATACACCGGCCGTGCCAATATTTCTCGGGAAAACGTCGCCGAGTACCGGAACAAACTTGTGTCTGAACAAAGTCTCAGATTGGGGGCGACTAAATCTAGTCCAGTTTAATCCTCAGAAGACACAAGTTTGCGCGTTTACCGCTAAAAAGAACCCCTTTGTCGTATCTCCTCAGTTTCAAGGCACTCCCCTTCTTGCCTCAGCCAGTATCGGAATCCTCGGAGTCGACATATCGAGTGACGTGCAGTTTCGTGGTCACTTGGAAGAGAAGGCCAAATTGGCCTCTAAAAAGCTTGGCGTGCTCATCAGAGCGGGACAGTATTTCATGCCGGCACACCGCCTGCAACTTTACAAGGCGCAGGTTCGGCCTCACATGGAATACTGTTCCCATCTCTGGGCAGGGGCTCCCCAGAGCCAGCTCCTTCCACTTGACCGCATCCAGCGCGGAGCGGCTCGAATCGTCGACGACCGAGCCCTTTCCGATCGGCTCGATTCATTGGCACTGCGAAGAGATGTTGCATCCCTTTGCATTTTCTTTCGCATCTACCATGGGGAGTGCTCTGAGGAATTGTTCGGATTAATCCCAGCCGCCAAATTTAACGAACGCACATCGCGGCAGAACTCTCGATACCATCCACACCATCTGGATGATTGGCGGTCCACCACTGTGCGATTTAGAAGATGTTTTCTTCCTCGCACGACTTCCTTGTGGAATCGATTACCATCAGCGGTTTTTCCGGACCGATACGACTTAGGGACCTTCAAGAAAAGAGCGTACTCCTTTTTAAAAGGCCGGCAACGCATCTGCAATTCCCTCCCTGGTGTTGCAGTTGTTCATGGGCGGCGGTAGTCACTTACCATCAGGTGAGCCGCAAGCTCGTTTGCCCCCTCACCTATAAAAAAAAATAGCAGTCCATTTCCCAAAAAAAAAAGAAACGAATTATATGTACTCTGTAGACAAATACCAAGGAAGATATCTGTGTAAAATTTTCAAATATATGACCAACAAAGACAATGCAATCCGTGGTGGAAATTGCATAAAATCCTACATACTTATAACGGGTAATGAAGGTATCTTTTAATGTAATTTCAAGGTATTCAAATTCAACACTTCTTTAAAATTGATTTCTAGTAGTTATCTTTATCTCATGATATTTTGTGGTCTAATGAGGTGAAGTATTATATCTACTTTCATAGTTATGTCTGTGAGTTTAGTCACCTTTCGGTGGTACGTTATTTCTTTTGAAGTTTTCAGTATATCTAAATTTATAAATATGTTTGGTTATCTTGGTAAGACATGATACATTACATTGCTATGAAATTTATGACTGGCTTCAGGTGGGATCCGGTGAGCGGCGGCGCACGTATTGATTACCACGGCGGCTCCACTTCCACCTTCCGCTCTCTGCACGATGGTAACGTGTATCGAGCAGAGGTGAGTTTATGCAGTAATGTCGTACCCATACGTATATTAAAAATGCAACATAAACTTATAAGCCAGATTGTAGTGGCTTGAGCAAATCATCACTCCCTATATCTCAACTAACCAATCGATACGTTAAGAAAACACAGACAATGTTAAATGTCAAATAGACCGAAAAGTGTCCGCTCTTTGACTGGTGACTGGTATTACGGTTATAGCACGAATGTGTCGGCTCGACCGGGGAAGGAACATGCTTTCACAGAAAACCAGCGTTAAATAGCAGCTCAATGCTGTTGTGTTTCGTATGTACTGGAAACGAAGCATTTCATTTTAGTTCATAGAGGTGACATTTTGATTCTTAATCGAGGATAGATGTAGATATAAAAGAACTTGATGAATTCCCTCCTCAGATGCACGTGGATCGTAGTGGCGAGCGTGCAGTGCGGCGCTGCGCGGTTGGATCACCGCAGCGCGAGGGCCCCGAAGACCGCGCGCTGCCTGTGCTGCCCGCAGAACTCGACCAATTCTCCTTTGCCGGTATGTGCTTGAATTTTTTAAAGTGAAAACTTCTGTAGGCGTGTCCTTCTTGAATAGTAAACAAAAGGGAACCGTCACGCTCGGCTCGGTGACGCACAATCGGGTTTGCTCGGCTCCACTCGCCATTACGCGCTCGACTCGGTGACTCACTGAATCGTTTGTCGTCATCAGCCACATTTACTGTCCTAACAAGGAGTGCATCGTTAAAATAATTTCATTTTTAACATTAAATTTTGTAATAATATTATAATTCTATGCATAATTTGCATATAATCAGTGTAGTATTTCATGTGTATATAATATGCTTATACAGTTAGTACCTAGTACTTCATTTAAAGCTAGTTTAATATAATACGTGTATGTAACTGTATATGTGTAAAAAAAATTGGATAATTAGGAGATTTTACTGTGGTCATAAGCACAAATCCATTTTTTTTATCTGACGCCCTTGTCGTGTGATCGTAGAGTACTTTGAGTACGATCACCTCATAAAGTTACATCCCATACACGTTCCACTCCTGGGCTCAGGCTTCCTCTGATTCTTGAGCGTGCGTGTCGGCGGACTACCACCTTATTCTTCATCTTTATTTAAATAGTGTTTAATGTATCATGTATCCCATCCACATACCCATCCATCCATCCATCCATCCAACCAGCCATCCATCCGTTACAGTCTATAAAAGTCCACGGTTTAAAATAGATATCCCTCATGAGATGGATACTTGCCATAGTTGCCACGCTTGGCAGACGGGTTGGCAAACGCAGTTTCCTGTTCTAGTTGTTATCAGGAAAATACTGCTGCCCATCTCCTGGTTGGTTTCTCTCTTTCGGCTGTTACTAGACACACTGGATGATATGGAGTAACGCATATTTTACACCACTATTGTACGGTATAAGGTTAATATGAAGTAGCTTCGGACTGAAAGCAGTTGTTGCGTGGCAGGGTACGTAGAGACGGCGCGTGGCAATGCGGAGGTGTGGCGGCGCGTGGTGGCGGGGCGCGCGGGCGAGCTAGGCGGCGCGCGCGGCGAGGCGCTCGCCACGCGACACGACCTGCTACTGGCGCGCGACGCGGACCGGATCGTGCCACTCTCGTACGTGCCATTACTTTTAAAATTTAACGTTATACAGCATGTCACAAAACTCAATTTGATGTAGATACAGAATGTTCTCAAACTCAATACCGATATACTAACTAGATACCGGGCGATATATTGGGCCATTTTATATGATAATTATGCCCGTGTGGTCAATAATAAAAATTGACTAAGAACTTTGACAAGTTCCGATTATTGTCAAAGTGTATGTATATTGATTTAATATAAGTGCACAGGATAAACACAAGTATACGCGTAAACACGGAGGCACTCATAAGTCTTAAACTAGCCGTCACGTACATATGTCAGTATATGTAACAGCACATCCTAGCCTTACTTCTTATCTTATGTTCATAAAGGTGAACGAGACATTCAATCCCTATCGTTTTCATGTGTGATAAAGCATCTGCTTTTTGAAACTTGAAATAATCCGTCCTTGAATTTACTATCTGTTAAACTGCGTCCTTATTTGTCTATCTCTGTCTGTATACCTTTATAAAAAAAGCCACTATAATTTTGATATTTTCTCTGTTCCTAAACTCTCATTCATACATACAGGTATACAGTATCAGTGAACAGTTCGGTGCTGGGCCCCGACTGCGACGGATACCACCACGAGTACTTTGAGGTGACGGAGCAACAGCACATGCCGAGCATTTTTAATTTGGATCTCGGTGATTGTTCTAATTTTTGTAACTCCTTTTTATTATTGTTACTCGTTACCCTTTATACTTATTATATGTTTATGTGTTTGCCAGATGAAGCATGCAATCAGGTTGAATATGTGAACGCGTCTGTACCGGATCATATGGCGCGACTGGAACCGCTGCGGGAGTTCATATTGCCGCGTAGAGATCCGCGATATGATACTAAACTTCAAGAGTACGTTTACATTACTTTATACAAAGTACATATATTTATATCCGTGTATATTTATCCGAGTACAAAATCAGCGTACGAAACCTATATAACTGCAGAGAGGTGTAAGACAGGATGAAGTTATATCCCCGAAACTCCTCACCGCTGCATTGGAAGACATTTTCAAACTGCAGGATTGGAAAGGATACGGTAATAATATCAATGGCGACTACATCACTCATTTTCGATTTGCTGACGATATAGTCCTCATGGCAAAATCGCTGGAGAACCTAAGCACTATGCTCAATGAACTCAATAGTGCCTCGCAACGTATAGGTCTTAAGATGAACATGGGCAAAACAAAGATCATGTGTAACCTTCATATTACACATATCCCATATTATATCATATGGTCGTTTTTGGAAGCAATAAGCTCGAAGTTGTTGATGAGTATGTTTACCTGGGACAAATAGTCTACTAGGTAAGTTCAAATAGCCCCTGAGCTACCGCAGTTCACTCGTTCAATATGTTGTAAAAAATCCACACAGGTTCGTAACGGAACACGAGAGGAGCTACGTCGATAACACGGAAGAAGCTGTGCGCAAGAACATCATAATGCAGAGCCATCGGTTCGTGTCGTCGGGCAACCGCGAGGGCGCAACTGTGGCATTGGGCGTGAATTTCCTGTGCGACCGGCTGGACGGAGAGCTGGACGAGCTGCGCGGAGTACAGCCGGCCGCAGAGATGCGTAAGGCGGAGCGCTTCCCGCACTCGCGCCGCCAGCTCGCCGCTGCTGAGGACGCGCTGCCCAAGCAGTTTGACTGGCGCCCGCGCGGAGCTGTCTCACCTGTCCGATGTGAGTTACTCGCTATTTGTGTTGTTTTTTATAAAACCGAAGTTTTTTTAATGGGTTTGCTCGACAACTGATGCTGGTGTTGAGCTGATTAAACATATCTTCAATACATGGTTCATTCACAGAACGTTTTTGGTATATTTTGTGACCTTATCTAAAGCCTTAGGTTGTGTTCACCGTGAGACATAAATCATAAAAGAACAACATAATGGTGTAAGAATATCCTTTTAAATTTGTTATTTCATATTTAAGTCACAGAACGTAAAAAGTTATTATTAACGGTATGAGTTATTACGGAAAGATGCTACTTTCTGTTTCTTGTCTATTTTAATGACTTTTAATGACATAGTAAAGGCTAAGTGTGATATAGTATTATTTGCTGATGATAATTCATTAATTTTTGAACTAAAACCACAATTAGTAAAATTTATAATGATTTTTTTATAAAATAACGGTAACAAAAAGCACACAGTCCGCCTGATGGTAAGTATTTACTGTAACCCATGGACGCCTGCAACCAACTCTTCAATCTAGACTTCAGATCCGTTATCAACTTTGAGGGCTAAGGTGAAATGCTGCACAGCCTTTTATTATACTGGATTTGTATACCCTTCAGACCGAACCAATGCAGTACAAGCACTGCTTTATAGCGCAGAAGTAGGTAATATCTACCCAGATAGATTGCTGTAGAGAAAATGTGTCACATCATCTAGTTTAGTTTAATAAAATTGAAAAAGTAAATAACCACCATAATAAACTACTAGAATAGTACGTTTATATACTAATGAAATAGTACGATTATATACTAATGCAATAGAATGATTATTTACAAATGAAATAGTATTAATATATACTAACGAAATAGTATGATTATATACTAATAAAATAGTACGATTATATTCTAACGAAATAGTGTGTTTATATACTAATGAAATAGTATAATTATTTACTAATGAAATAGTATAATTATATACTAAAATAATAGTATAATTACATACTTAACGTAAACTCTCTAACTCTCAATATAGATAAAACGAACTTTATCTGTTTTACCCCATCAGAAAGATCACAACCGGGGGTCGACTTTGGGGTCCGGATTCATAGGTGTGGCGAAACGTTTATTGGTAGCTGTGACTGTCAGAGCATAAAACGAGTCAAATCCACAATATATCTTGGAGTAACAGTGGACCACAGATTGTCGTGGCACTCCCACATTGAATTATGACATTTATAATTATGACAAGAGTAAGGAAACTCATTTGGATTTTCAAAAATTTTGGTCACGTTATGCCAGATCAGCTATTAAGAAAGGTATACATTGCCTCTTAAACATAATTTTACACCTGCATAAGACACTCATATACTCCAGCGAACCTGGATAGAAGACGCAAATATATTGTGGCCCACTCCCCTAGGGTCCATACTGTTTTTGTCATACGTCAGTTTACCACACAATCAACACACACACACACACACATATATATATATATATATCTATATATATATATATATATATATATATATATATATATATATATATATAATAAATTGAATTTTAAATTAAATATATATCCTATGTTGCTCCATAAACGTAAACAAGCCTTAATAGAGTGGGTAAAAGCTCTTATATACGAGGCAACTGAGCTTATCTTAATCAGTAAACCTAAGTAAAACACACACACACACACACACACTGTATTGAGAAATAATTTTATTTATTACTATTATTATATACTAATGAAATAGTATAATTATATACTAATCAAATAGTATGTGTTACTCCATCCCGTGGACACCTACAAACAATTTCAAATAAATAAAGCTATAGGTCACCTTTGAGAACTACAGTATTTGAAATGATAACTGATATCAAAGGATGAATAAACTGATAACAACCGAGTCTTCGTAGTGTTAAAAGAACACTAACTTTATTAACGTAAAGCAATTAAATTTTTTCTTACTTTTTTAAACGCGGCGCATCAAAGCTATTATATATTTGATATAAAACAATTACCATGTAATGACATTAGGAACAGAAATGGTATTTAAGAAAAACACAATCCTTCCTATGAAACAATTTATGGGGGAGGCCTATGTTTAGCAGTAGAGTGGTATTATAGGCTCTGATGGATGGATGAATAAAACAATACAAATGTTCAAGTAGCTCGTACAGCCTCACTGTCTGTGATGGAAACGTCTCTTTTATCCTTTAAACCGGAATGCAGCAGTGTGCACCAATGCTTAGCGGCTGAAATAGGTAAGACGATTCTATGCAAACACACTCTAAGCGGAGTAGAAGTCCTATCACTTAATAAACTAATTTCAAATTATCATCGTTATTATGATCCATAGGTTACAAGATATTTACAAAGAAGGAATTTAGTGGCGCTACAAATGCAAATCCTATATTACTCTATACCCTAAATTATACACCAAATGGTGGAAAGTAGCGCCTATACTTTATGAACCGGTGTAAATTTTGATGAACATAAGATTTTTAACAAGCCTAAATCGAACAGAACAATTAAAACCTTAGATAAATTTCTTCTTTGTAGATATCTTATAACCTGACGATTACAAAAGTCCGCTGGCTTTCTTGCCGGTTCTTCCCACGACAGAGGATTTTTTCCGAATCAGTGGTAAAAGTAGATAATTAAAAATTAAATATTTTGTACAACCGAATTCAATATAAACTATTAAGAATAACTCAAAAACTATTGGTCAGACCTTGACAAAATTGACCACATGGAAAGCACCAGCTTTCAAATAAATAAAGAATCATCAAAATCGGTTCACCCAGTATAAAGTTATGAGGTAACACACATAAAAAAAAGAAAAAAAAACATACAGTCGAAATGAGTTTCGTCTATTTTTGGAAGTCGCTAGAAAATGACTTTCAAAAAGAATAACTTGTAATCTGTATAGAAAAAAAAAGTATTATATTCTATAATAAACTGGTTTGATCTGATCCGCACCGTAATTTAAATAGTATCTATTGTGAAATGACTTTTAATTACATATAATATTATTTTCTGCAGTGTTGCGCTGTGATAAGTAATTTCAAAGAACATATAATGCTAGTTTCATTTTAATTTTGCAGATCAAGGCTCGTGCGCGTCGTGCTGGGCGTTCGCTGTGGCGGGCTCGGTGGAGGGCGCGCTGTTCGTGCGCACTCGCCGCCTCGTGCCGCTCAGCGAGAAGTGCCTCGTCGACTGCGCGCACTCGTTAGTATAGCTTATCATTAGTCATGAACATTAGCCCACATAGTGTTCACTGCTGGACGAGGACTTCACACACAGTCAAAAGTAAGTTCGACAATCTGTCAGGTGACACGAGATGGTTGTTTCGCCGTATGCCAGATTATACAACTACTGCTACTTTGTCAAACATCACCCCTATGTGGTAATCTATGGGGGAGGCCTATGTTCAGCAGTGGAATTTATAGGCTGTAACGGTAACGAATGTCAGAAAACACAAGGTTGCCCTAGTATAAAGTAAATACATTTACTTTTATCTTATATACTTATCCAGTGGGTGACATTATTGTGTCACCCGCAGGATAAGATGTGGCGATTGATTCTCATAAGTCACCATTAAACTTACACGACTTAATGCATAGGTAAGTATTGATTCATATGTTCATTACTTCCGTACAGAATCCCTCAAAAGGGGAATATTTGCCATAATTGGCATGCTTGCCAAGCGGGTTGGCAACCGCTGTTTCTTTTCTAGATGTTTTTAGAAAGATGCTCTTGGCCACTTTCTGGTTTGCTTCTCTATGTGATCTCTTACGACACCCGCGGAAAGATATGGTATAGCGGATATTCTTACACTGCCACTACACGGTTTGTATTTTAATATATGTAATTTCTGTTCACTAAAAGTTTTTACCGTTACACAGACATGGCGCAAACGGTTGCAAGGGAACCTGGCCTAGCCGTGCGTACGATTATATCCAAGATCGAGGCCTGCCCGCTCTGGATGAGTATACGCCGTATGAACCTAAGGTATAAAAATGAAGGAAAAATAAAGTAATGCTAAAGAATAAAAATGATAATTATCTTCTTCTACTCTTTTAATTTATATGCTTTCTCTAGATAGAATTCTGCCAATGTCAAGAATAATTATCTTCCAGGTCGATCAATGTGCAAAAGTGTCGCCTGTCACCCGCATCAGTGGTCACGTTAACGTAACTCAAAACAGTGTTCCTGCACTGAAGGTATATTTTATTGAATGCATTGATGTGAACAAGAGACTGTATAATTATTCTAGGTATTTAGATTTGATTTTAATTAAACGTTTTGTTTTGTAGATTGCCATTAGACGCCACGCGCCAGCTGTCGTTATTGTTGATGCAAAGGCAAAGAGCTTCATTATGCATAAGAAGGGAGTACTCTACGACGACCGCTGGTTTGTAGTTTTTATAATATTCGAATAACAAAGGAGTTAACGGTAAAGTGTCTAACGGTTAGTGGTTTTAGTAGAACAAAGATAATTTGTAGCGTCGTCACCCTAGAGGACAAAGATTAAGTGCCAACCCAGACTAACTGCCAGCTAGAAAATGAGCGCTAAATGACCGCCAAACTAGGGCTAGGATGCTCAAAAAGGTGCTTGAAAAGACTGTTGATAAAATGTGATTGAACATCATTATATAAAATATTTTATTGAACTGTGGACGCCTGAGGCTCAAACATAACAGTAACAAGCAAGCCGTGTTCGAGCTCCGCAATTGCAATTTCAGGTGTTGAGGTTGACAACGTGCTCGTTGGTGATGGAAAACATCTTGTGGTAACTCGCGTGTCTGAGAAACTAAAATATTACAAAACCAAAGTGCACTAATATGCAATGGGGCAACTGACTGTTCTATGATCCATGAACAAAAATGAGAGGAGCCCTGTGTCCAGCTGGTGGAGGTATATAGACAGTAACTTTTTTGAAAGAATAAAGGTGACAAATGGGCACATAGTCCACCTGATGGTAAGTGGATACTGTGGTCCACAAACATCTACAATTATTTTTGAATAAGAATCAAAATAAAGATGCGTTGTCAAGCCTACGGACTAAGATGGAATGCTCGTTTTCAGTAAAAAAAGTATCTCCAGTTCTCTACACTCATCATATGAAACAGCAACATTAAGTTGCTATTTCACGCTGGTATTCTGTGAGAGCGTGGTCCTTCCCTGGCGGTCGATCTGATCTGATAAAATTCTCCGAAAATCCATGTCAAATTCCCCCATTTAAGGTCAAAACTTCAACAGATTCCCCACAAATCCCCCCTTAATTTTATTTTAAATACTGAAAGAATTTTCAACTAATTTTATAAGATTTATTTTTTAACTTAAATTTTTTTGTTTTTTAGCCAAATTTTTTTTTTCACACTTTCCATATAATTGTAACAAGCATTTTACTTCATGGAGTGTTTTTAATTTCTTCTCTTGTTCCCATTAAAACGTACCACAGTATCTGCATTTATATGCATGCGGTTCTCTGCTTTAAAATTAAAAAAATAAAGAAATGAAAAGCATTAAGTGATACACAAAAGTTGACGAAATAAGTCCGAAAATTAAATGTGGTGCAATGAAGATAATTAAAAAAAGGGAGTCATTCGATATTCACAAGTAACCTAACAAAAATGTTATGATAAGTATTTAGATTTCTTGAAAAAGAAAAGGTTCTGACTTTGCCCGGGCTATCGACTTTCAAAATCTACGCATTTTTACCGTATAATAATACCAATAAAATCCCATAAAATCTCCAACGAACTTTAAATTCCCCGCAATTTTGGGAATTCCCCACATGTTGGCATCGCTGACGCGAGGCGACACGAGTCGGCCGGGCGGCGGCAGCGCTTGTGTGAAAGGGACGGGTAAAGTGAGCAGTAATACCTAATTTCGGCGTCCGCGCGAATACTGACCGTAGTCAGCTAATTTATTAATTTTTAATTCCACTGCTGGTTTTATGTTTAAGTATTTTCATGATTTTTTTTTAATGAAATTATCGTTCCATTTAGCTGTACTAACATGATGCAGCGTGAATAAAGCTAATAAAACGTTGTGAAAAGATAAATTTTTGTGCCTCGGGATCGATTTTCTTTCTGACCCATCATCAAAAGTATCCTTGGTACAAGCATCTGTCATCGTTTTCGGGAGCGTTTCATAAACAACCTGTATAGCTGTACCAAGGCTTTACCTTATACAAAACTTTTATTAATTTTTATATAAATATTTATGGTGTAATGTTCCAGCGGCAAGACACGTAAGCAACTGAACCACGCAGTGTTGGCAGTGGGGTGGGGTGAGCGGCGCGGCGAGCCGCACTTCATCCTGAAGAACTCGTGGTCCTCAAAGTGGGGGGAGGGCGGTTATATCCGCGTGCAGGCGCGCGCTAACACGTGCGGCGTTCTCACCATGCCCTCGTACCCACGTCTGGAGGGCGAGGACGTGCTTCGCGACCTACCACCAGCCCAGCCCGATGACTCCAACACCATCAGGCGCAACCGCGACTCTCAGTACCAAGATCTCTAATCTTACTAGTGCCATCCGTTTGTGTTATCTTTATATAAAAATAAATGTTGATTGAATGTCGAGTTTTATTTTAAACTATGATAATATTGGATTCGATGACAGAGGGTGTATGAACGGGAATGACAAGAAGGAATCAGGCCTTTCTCCGTTTTAAAAGAGAATGTACAAATGATAATTGGACATCCTATAAAATAGCGAGGATCAGGTGCGATCAGATTGTGCCCAACGCTAAGCGCCATTACAGCCATAACAATATTGTTAATTCTTCACCAGCTAATGTCTGAAAGTTTCTAAGTTCAATTGGTGTGGGTAAACAATGGATTATATGATATTAGTTGGTTAATTAGGTGATATAGTGATGATATCAATATTCATTTTGCTTCTGCTATGGCAATGGACCCTACAATCTACAGTCTCAGACGATATCTTATCTCTTTACCTCCGCAAATTCCTGTATTCCTATTCTCTCTTGTGAGTCAGGATGAGGTTAAAAAAAGCTATTCTTTTAATTAATTTCTAGGCTTTAGGCTGTGATGAAACAAGTAAATTCATGATAGTCAATATACTAGAATACATTGACCCTACTGTGACGCACATTATGAATTTTTTACTTGACTTTGGACAGTATCCAATTCTCTGGAAAAAGGCTTTTGTCCTACCTGTTCCGAAGTTACCTAATCATCTACGTCCCATATCTATCTTGCCCTTTCTGTCTAAAGTTTTGGAAGACTATGTTTATAAGCAAATATTCAATTTTATATATAAACATGACCTACTGAGTGCTCATTAGTCTGGATTTCATCCGGGTCACAGCACCACTGTGAAAAACAAGAGTGTTAGTCTTTTATGTTGACTTTTGTAATGCTTTTATCACGGTTGACTACGACATCCTACTGACAATTCTTTCCCATTTAGGATTCACATTCAGCCTAAAAGAGGTTTGCTGCTTATCTTTGCGGGCGTCAGCATTCGGTTCATTTAGGGCAAGAGTGCTTAATATGGAGTGATCTTGAAACTGGCGAAATACTTTCTCCTATACGTTTCTCAGCTTTTATAAACTGACGACCTTTAAATCTACATGTAGGCTAATATAGACGAACTCCATAACGCTATTGCAAATTTAAATAAAAAATTAATAGCTATTAGTGAATGGTCAAGGTGCTTTGGTATCTCTGTCAACTCAAAAAAAATTCAAGCTATGCTTGTGGGTAGTTCGAGAATTTTTTCTAAGATAAGGGTATCACATTTATCTTCAGCTTATTACAATGAAATCTTGATACCATTCTCAAACTCTATGAAAAATCTAAGCCAATACATAGACAGTACATTGAAATGGGATACTCATGTCACTGAAATCAGTCCTAGTCTTAGCCACCTTACGGTCTCTCTACCGTGTAAAGAATGTCCTGTCTACACAAAGATCACGCTTGTACAAACACATATTTTACCCATTATTGATTATGTATTTACCCATTGTTTATTATGTTGTTACCCAGATTTGAACCAATATTTTCCCAACAAGCTAGAGCGCTTCAATAATAATTGCATTAGATACATATATATATAAAATTTATAAACAAACATACATATCGGGGATGAGTCGCTCGCGTCCGTAGGCTTCGACCACCTAATCCTAGGCCCACCCTACACGTGTCCCCCGGGTGGTGCTAAACGAGCGACAAAGCCGAAAGAACTGACTCGGCTCCTCGCCGTGTGGTAGCGGCGTAAAAAATACCACACCTTACTTTCGAACCATGAGGCAAAAAATTAACGAAATGGCCCCGATTTCCCGGCTCCCCTTTAATGGGGCAGGGGTGCGAAGAATCTCCAGGAGGAAAACCGGCGACGAGGTTCGCCACCCGTCACGTTCTGTCCCCCGGAGGGGCGAAAAGTGGATTGGGGAAGCCCGTCTGGCTACATTGAATGTATGTGGGGGAATGAATGATAAGATGGATGAAGAATGCGATATGATGTATGATAGAGGAATACCCGTGTTATGCGTAAATGAGACGAAACGGAAGGGAAAGGATGCCACTACACATGGCATGTATACCGCGTACTGGTCTGGTGTAGACGAGACCGAGCGGGCATGCCAGGGAGTCGGTATCATCCTTTCAGAAAGAATGGGTCATTGTGTGAAAGAGTATGAATGTGTAAGCCCGAGACTGCTATGGATACGAATGAAAGTGGGCTGAAAGAAGTTGTTTGTTTTAGGGGTCTACGCCCCAGACATGTCTAAGCCCACTTATATCCGAGAGCAGTTTTGGGAGTTGGTAAGGATGGTGCTAATGAAATGCAAGGTTAATGAAAATATTGTGATATTAGGTGATTTTAATGGAAGGGTTGGGGTGAGGAGGCTTCGTTATGAAAGGATATTGGGAACGTTTGGTGATGAAAGTATAAATGAGAATGGTGAAAGCCTTCTCGCCGTATGCGTGGAAAAGAATCTTGTTGTGACGAACGCTTTCTTTCGTCATAAGAAGATTCACACGTATACGTGGGAAAGAGGTGATGATAGAAGTATGATAGATTTCATAATTGTTGATGAAGGAATGAGGAGCACGGTGGTAGATACAAGGATTTACCGGGGCTCTAACGTAGGGACGGATCATTACTTGGTCTTATGCCGAATTAATGGTCTTTTCAGACGTTGGAGGCATCGGACATCTGTGTCTACCACTGCGTTACAGCGTATAAGAACAGAGAGGTTACAAGATGAAGGTGTGAAAGAGAAATTCAAATGTAGATTGAGAGAAAATATAAGTGATATGGCTGAATTGTGTATGAATGATTTAGACTTGGAGACTGTGTGGTATAATGTCAAGAAAGGTTTAGTGGATGCAGCTACCGAAGTATGTAGTGTAAGTAAGAGAACGAATGAAAGGAAAAATAACACATTATGGTGGGATGATGAGGTACGGATGGAAGTTGAAGCAAAGAAGAAAGCATGGCTAGATTTACTAGCAACCAAGGCTAGTAATTCTAGCAGTATGAATGATGATATTGAAAGGAAAAAAGCAGTTTTAGACACCTAAATAAGAGAGTAAAAGAAGTAGTTGAAAGGAAAAAGCAAGAAAGAACGGATAAGAATGATAGAAGAATATCGGATAACTTCCAGGCAAACATTAAAATGTTCTGAAAACTCGTAAGAACTAAGAGGGGACATTCAAAACAGCCTAGAATGAATGCTATACGAGATCAGAATGGCTGTATTCTGAATAACGAAGTTTTGAGTTTAAGGAGATGGAAGGAATACTTTGAAAGCGTGTTTATGAGTGATGAGACGTTTGAATTAAATGAAATAGAAATTCCGAAAGAAGAGGAAATAGATAGAGATATAAGTATAGATGAAATAATGAAAGCAATGAAAAGTATGAAAGCAGGTAAGGCAGCCGGTTATGATAGAGTATCTCTCGAAATGCTAAGGGCTGGAGAAGGAGTGGTGGCAGACCTGCTGTACACCTTGTTTAATTTATGTTGGGAACTTAAGCGGGTACCGGGAGACTGGTGCAAAGCCGTGATAGTCCCAATATATAAGGGGAAAGGATCACAGCAGGACTGTAAAAACTACCGTGGTATCAGCCTTCTTAGCATTGTGGGAAAACTGTATGTTAAGGTACTAATTGAAAGAGTTATGAAAGAAACTGATGGAAAAATTTGGGATGTGCAAGCGGGATTTAGAAAGAGAATGGGATGTACGGATCAGGTCTTTTCCATGCGCATGATCGCGGAGAAGTTTCTGGCCAAAAGCCAAAAAGATTTTTGTGCGTTCATAGACTTGAAGAAGGCTTATGACAGAGTGGACAGGGATGTGTTATGGCAAACACTGAACTCATTTGGGTTGACCGCTGGTCTGATACAGGCATTGAAGTCTCTATATAGGGACTCTAGTGCTTGTGTCAGGATCAACGGGGCCTACTCGGACTGGTTTGGCATCCATAAAGGTGTCAGACAGGGCTGTGTGGCTTCCCCGTGGTTGTTCAACCTATTTATGGACAGTTGTTTGGAAAATTTGAAAGTAGAAGAATGCGGGTTAAGAATGGGTGAGTTAACCGTCAAATGCCTTTTGTACGCCGATGATCAAGTCATACTTGCATCGTCGGCAGCCGAGTTGCAAATGATGGTTACATTAATGAACAGGATATTAAAAGAAAAGGGAATGAAAGTGAACGCAAGTAAGACGAACGTTATGGTTTTTGAAAGAGAAGAAAGTAAAACGATATGTGAAATAAGAATAGAAGGGGAGTTGGTAGAGCAAGTAGATGAGTTTGTATATTTGTGATGTGTGTTTAGCAGGGATGGTAGATATGATAAGGATATAGAACGACGAGTGAATGCAGGAAATAGAGGGAATGGGGCTCTACACTCTATTGTGAAAAGTCAGAATGTGTCCAAAAAGGCACGTATGGCAATTCACAATGCTGTGTTTGTACCTACTTTAATGTATGGTAGTGAAAGTTGGGTGTGGCAGAAGAAGCACAAGAGTAGAATAAATGCTGTAGAAATGCGGTTATTAAGGTGTATGTTAGGGACGAATCTAAATGACAGAGTGAGAAATTGTTTAATAAGAGAAGAGTGTGGTTTGCAAGATGATGTTGTGACCAGGATTAAGAAAGTAATGCTTCGTTGGTTTGGCCATGTAGAAAGAATGAATGAGGAAAGAGTAACAAAGCAAATTTATGTTGTAGAGGTGAACGGCATAGTCGGGAAGGGTCGCCCTAGGCGAAAGTTTATCGACCAAATTGGCGATATATTAAAAATGGGCCAAATCAAGAGTACCTTTAACCGACGAGCGTGTATGCGTATGTATATGGATGTGGAGGAAGCGAGAGAGGTGTGTCAGGATCGTGCCAAATGGAAGTCCATAATCTCTGCCTACCCCTCTGGGTGACAGGCGTGAGTGTTTATGTATTATGAGAGAGGTGTGTCAGGATCGTGCCAAATGGAAGTCCATAATCTCTGCCTACCCCTCTGGGTGACAGGCGTGAGTGTTTATGTATTATGTATGTACATATCTACCCAAAAATACATATATAAATTACGAAATTCCTCAA